TCATATATTGATAAATAAAAAAAAACTTTAACCAAAGACTGAACTTTAAATATAGCGGACTATACATTATGGATTTTTCTCATTGTTAAAGGCTCTATGGTTGCCCATTATTGCTTACATCCACTTTCTTTGAACTTTGGTGGATAGTTGTCTCATTGGCAATATCATACCTCATCTCCTAATTTTAATATTTCTATTATCACCAGTTTAATTCGCCCTTTCAGACTCTAAATAAATGCATTCTGTTCTGGGTAATATTTTCGAAAGCGTACACCAAAACGTTGTGATTGGTTTAAAAAGTTCTAAACAATAGAAATTCAACCAATGAGGTAATGTTATTTTCATTTTGGTGTACGAACAATTAGATTACCCATAATCCTTTAGATTCTGAAAAAGGCGAATTATTTCTTAATTATTCTTCCTTTGTTTAATTTGTACAATATACAAATAAGATATTAATGTATTTACTTACATCTTCAGCTATCAATAAAAAAGGCTTCCTTTTAAAGTCTGACTTGAATAGTGAAGGTGTAGCCTAGATCTGTTTTACTATGAAGCTGTAAATTAAAAAAAAAATAACATCATTATGTCAATACGTGCTTAGGAACAGGATCAAACAAAGCAATAACGAGAAGAAAGGCATACATACATCTGGAAGTCTTAAAGATTTTTTTTAGATCTCAATCCTTTGAGCCTTCTATTTAAATCTGGGTCAATGAATTAAGAAATACTCAAATAGTTCATAAAATGAAAATAAGCCAAGAAAATGTTTTCCTAAGGGCTATCAAAAAGTATAGTATACAGTTTTTATAAACAAAATGAAATTCTAGATATTCCTCAAGGTTCTGAGTATCAGTTTCAGATTACTGTTCAATTTTTATGTCAAAATCTTTAAAGCTATTGTTGCTGTCAACATGGTCAAATCTACAATTACCGGACCCTCATAACTTTATATCTTAATTTGAATGAGCTGTCAATAAGACAATATATGAATTACTGAAACTCTAATATTCAATTATTATAATATAATTGACAATATATTATTATCTACTTGAAAAGTAATGTTTGATGAGATTATAATCTTAATTTCAGGCATGCAAGTATAGAAATAACCTGCAGTATGAAGGATTTAATCAATATTTGGTTATGTTTTGTAACATCATTTTTGAACAATAAAGCCAAAAAATGTATACACTTATTTGCTGTCTCCTGGCAGAAAGATAGGGTAAATAGATAAAATAATTGTATTTTTTATTTTTATTTTATCTAAATTATTAATATACTATATATACAACATGTTCTGAACTTAAATGGTGCTTTACCAAACAAATTTTGACTTTTACCAGTACTTTACAAAAAAAAAGCCAGAAAATATGTAAGTAAATCGAAAGGGAGACAAAAAAAAAAGAACTTTATCATATTCTGACCTAAACATCAAACTTTATTTTAGTATACTTGAATAGGAAACATTTCTTGTTTTACTATTAAATTACCTTCAGCTTAATAACTTGATTACAACCAAAATACTACAAACTTCTGTCACCAAATGTGATTCTCTGAAGCACTGCTAAAGTATCATGTCCTTTATCCATCTTATATATATACATCATGTACATGACAGTATATATTTGCCTCAAATTCAGATTTTTTCTGGAAAAATAAATATTCAAATAAATGTACATGAACATGAACTTTAGTCCACATATTATGCCTCCTTCTACTGACTGACAAACAAATGTCACATAATCATCTTTAGTAATGTTAATAATATGAACAGTATATACATGTAATATGTTATCATTAAAATTTAACATCATTGCATAGGGATTTTATGCTGAGTGACTTAAATATTTCTTTGTGTGTATGTATAAAACTTTCTTTTTTTCTTTCTTTATTTTACATTCCTTTCGTTGTGTGATATTTAATTAATTTTGTATATATATATTTATTATATCTCGATTATATGGGGCCAACTTGGACGAGTAGTCTTAAGTAGTCGAACTTCTGTATCACCAGCCAGCAGCCAGTCAACACTATGGTTGTGAGTTCAAATCCTGCACGTGGCAAGTGAACTTAACTCCAATCTTAATTGACTAGGATTGTCAGTTTTCCTACCAAAGGTCATGGTTTTCACCAGCTTCCTCCATCAATAAAAACTGGATGCCATAAAATAGCACCATAGTGTTAAAAGTGGCGCTAAACATTAATCATTCAATATCTCAATTATGAGAAAATAAAGACATCAATGAATCAATAAATGTCCATTAGTTTTTTTTTTTATTATTAGCATTAACAGTAGTTTTTTTGGTATAATGATTCCAATTATGCAATCTAATTGTACAGTGTGTTAAAAATTTAATAAACAGCTGCGAAAGGACTGCACGATTACAAGCCCTCCAAATTCATATCAAATTTGTTTAAAGTATAAAATGAAATGTTAAAAATTGTAGATTCAGACATGATTTTATAAGTCATTTTTTATTTTTTTAAAGGTAACAATGACAAATGAATGAGTTGCATCTGATGTCATGCCAAGTAGTCATATTATATTGGGGTGGTTGTAATTTCCTTAGAATTTCTTTAGAAACATACTTCATTAAGTAAAATAAATTTTTATATTACGGGTGGTTGGTGTAAAAAAAGACCCTGTTAGATAATTCCTGAATAGCTCCAAGATATATCTATTGTTCATGTTGTTTAGTCACTTCTTAGGTACATTTGTATATGTACCGTATATATAGTTACACATTTAAATGATTATTCGATTCTTATCACCTTTTACAGTTGACTTATCAATTTTTGTATGCATTACATAACGTCCTTCAGTTGTCCAGCGGCAAATATTTAATGCTAACATTCAGAACATTGTAGCATTAATGTACAACAAATTATATCTATTCTTCCTCTGCACATATGCTGCAAGCCAAAAGGCATGTTGTTCTTTTTAAAGCACACTGTTTTGTTAAATGCATTACATTTCATAGAATGGAAATAGTGCATACATATCTGTTGGAACTTTGCTGAATTGTCCTGGTCACGTTGAACTGGACATCTCTCCCTGTCATTTTCTTTCTCATGTCTTGAATTTTCAAACAGATCCTCCATACTTCATTCATGCCCTGCTTATTATCTGTCATATAGAAAAAAGAAATGCATAAATTTTAAGTATTTTTTTTACACATACAGTTATTGTCATAGTCTGTCAAACTTTAAATTGGGAACATTACAGTGAACTACCAAAATTGTGTGGTAAATATTAATAAGTGGAACAATGAAAGGTAATTGCCTGATAATTAACTCAAGTGTCATTCTATGATCATGAACAATCTTGACATATATTTAACTGGTGAAATAAAATGAGTTGTGTGGTGTATGTCTATGAGACATGTGAAGTTTATATACCACTCCAGACAGATAAGTGTAAGTGATCAATACATGTAGGTCCTCAGTACCTGCAGCTGAATATGTTAAAAAGTCCCTATTTATTTATTGAAGTCTTGTAAAAATCAAAACCCACATATATTTATGTCTAAGGATGTTCGTTCCTCATGTTTTTGAGTTTTTGCCAGATATTCAGAATCCTCTGGCTTTATCCATGATATTCTGACATTAAAAAAAATCCCAATAATCTCTACTTTTCTTTTCATAATTTTATTTTGAATAGATATATAAATATAAAATAATTTATCTATAAATACTAACTTTAGTTCTCTTTTATACTGGTGAAGTAAATCAGAGACATTATATATGACGTCTCTGAGTCAGTCTGAGTAAAATTGAGAATGGAAATGGGGAATATGTCAAAGAGACAACAACCCAACAAAGAGCAGATAACAGCCGAAGGCCATCAATGGGTCTTTATCGAAGCCAGAAAATCCTGCACCCTGAGGTGGGCCTCAGCTGGCCCCTCCATAATAATGTGTACAAATTGAGTAATTCAGTGAAAATGGACGTCACACTTAACTCCAAAACATATAAATGAACTAAAATTTAAAAATATACACGACTAACAAAGGTAAGAGGCTCCTGACTTCGGAGAGGCAAAAAAATGCGGTGGGGTTAAACATGTTTTGTGAGATCTCACCCCTCCCCCTATACCTCTAGCCAATGTAGAATAAAGAAACACACAGCAATACGCACAGTAAAATTCAGTTTAAAACTTAAAAGAAGATATTTATTTTTTACAGAGATTAAATTATATACAAAATGCTAGTGCCTGTGGTAATTTCTTTCAAAAGTTGGGTATTAGGGGGGCCTACTATTCAGTCAGGGGTACTACTTGTACAAGTAATTTTTATTTACTTGAAGAAGTAATTATAATATACTTATATAAGTAAATTTGTAGGATACTTATACAAGTGTATTTTTTTTACTTGTATAAGTAAATTATTTTTTGGCCTAGTTATGTCCCTTAGGCGTTCAGATTTTTTTACTTATACAAGTAAAAAAGTCATCCTATCTTCTTTTCTTGAATTCTTAGAACTTCTTTGCTCTTTCTTGAATTCTTAGAACTTCTTTGCTCTAACAGAATTTTGAATTGTCTGTCCTTTGCAGATGTCTTTACTATTCATTTAAGTGTAATTTCATGGACAATGAAAATCTCATTTGTCTTTTATCTTTAGAACACTGCTCATTTACAAGCCCCCAAGGAGCAATTTTTGAAGGCCTTGCGCAAATACTTAAGATCTTTGCTCAATCAGTTTCTTTGTTGAATTAATGAGATGAAACATTGAACTCTTATCAAAAATTATGAGCTAACCTGAGAAAAATTGTTAAAGGCATGATTTTACATCTCAAAACTTGAGAATTTTTGTGGGATTGTAAAAAAAATTTACTTATACAAGTAAATTTTTTAGAAAATTAAGGGGAGATTATTCAAACAATATAATTAACTTGTACAGGAACATATATATTGTTCCCAGACTTGTATAAGTATATTTTATTTACTTCTTCAAGTAAATAAAAATTACTTGTACAAGTAGTACCCCTGACTGACTATTAGTGTGATCATTTGGTCTTCATGATTAACTCATAAAAATCATACGGCCCAGGCATGTATAAATGTTGTCAGGACAGTAAAATTTTAATGAAAAAGGACTCACAAGTCACAAACCATAGGCCCTAAATGATTTAAATTTAAAGGAATTTAAAAGTTTATGACGGGTTTTTCCAATTTTCAGGCAGTCAAGTGTTTCATGAAGACTGTATTTGTTCAGGGAATGGTACGTTTTAATTAACTATTGTACACATACCTTCATAACGGGATTGTGAAATGAAATATACCTGTTATATCTTCAAGAGTATCTGCATTACTTTCCATTGCCACTACTGTGGTGTTAGTCTTTAGTCTTTAGAAGTGTCAACTTGACACTATAATCTCTCTGTACTTTCGGTCACTCTGGTAATTTTATGTCACTTTTGTATATAACTCATTAGTACATTTGTATTTATGTGTGTGTCGTCCAAATGTGTCGTCTGAGACGCTCGTTTCTGTGAACCGTACGGGATAATTCTCTGAGAGACGAAGCACATCAATTCTCATTTAAACTGAATTTACCGATTGTATTTCATGTTTAAATATTCAAATAATTAATTAAACTAAATATTTAAATTATATTAAGCTACCAGCTGGATAACAAAACAATGTTAATAAATTGATTCCGCTTCTGGGTTACACACCGATTCCGAAATGTTTCAAGGTGTGCGGTATTTCCCGCGGTTATTTTTGGCAAGCAATCTCCTTGTCAATGTGATAACAGTCCATATGAAACTGACAGACTGAGAGTCTGTGTACTGTATAATGACGGAACTGTAGAAGTAAAAAAAAGTTCTGTCTCGGGTCTACTGTACTGTGTACTTGTGACTTTAAAAATATGCATGCAGTGCAGGTAAGTTCGATAAAATTACAGTTTTTTTTCTGATTTTTTTTACCCTAAGCCAATAGCCTAAGGCTACACTAAAGTTTAGTTAAAACATATATTTTATTTAAATAACAACACAAATTCGATAAGACACAAGTCAAACCGATTTATGAACTCTTTTTCCATATTCAGTGGTGGATCCATAAATGACATAAATTTTTATAAAAGGGGGTGGGGGATATGGCATTGATTGTCTAAGGTAAATCCCACAAAAGGGGGGCATTGACTGCCTAAGGTTGAGCCAACAAAAGGGGGCATTGACTGCCTAAGGTTAAGCCAACAAAAGGGGGCATTGACTGCCTAAGGTAAAGCCCACAAAATGGGGGGGGAGGCTGCGCATTAAATCTGTCTCTGATATTAGTACAGATGAACATTAGGGGAATGACACGCTTTTGGGTTGTGGGATATCGAGGTTAAAAAAAAAGGGAATTTTTCATATTGGGATGAAAAAGTGGGGATGTGGGATTTAGTTGGATTCTTCAATCTTTGTCTTGATGACAGGATAATTCTCTTCTCTTGTTAAACGATATTTTCAGTTGTAATTTCTCCTTAATTTGTACTTCAGGGGGTTAAATCTAATTGATGATATCATGTCAGTCAGCTTTGAACAGCTATCTTTTATTTTATGTTTAGCTTACACATTTATGACATTACTACAAACTTATGCTATATGTAAAATTGAAAATGAAAAACATTTTCTTTTACATTGTGAAAAATACTCAACTAAAAGGGCCATATTTTACCAAAAAGTTTCAAATATAAACGTTGATCCTACAAAATTTCAAAAAAAATGAAAATAATGTAATCTTTTTATAATAATAAATAATAATTCATACACAATCCTAAAATTGACTTCCTCTTTCATTTCAGACAGTCTGAACCTGCGTAAAGCAGAACAAACTCTATAAAATTGTCAATATGTCTAATTCTTAATCATTGTTTATAAAATTACATATTAATATAGTCATTATTTGCAATACTTATTATGTATGATCAACTATGTAATTAATATACCATGAGCCTTAACCATTTATTGTTGATGAGTTTGTGCTAATAAAATTTTTTTTTTTGTAAACAAATATTTAAGAGTAATATTTCTATTGTGTAATAAATAATACCATTATAAAAATGAAAGATTTTTTTCCATCAATTGAATAATTTGATATGTTTTTAGGGATACAGCAAGTTCCCAAGTTCTTAGTTAATGAACAGAGAAAATTGTTGAGGAGCTCATTGGGGGAAAAAAACAAATTAACAAAGGAAATGTACTTTTTCAATAAGGAGAAGAAGTAAAAGCAGCAGGTATTATATACTTATTTTATACTTGATTAACTTGGCTGTAACGGTCAAACGATTGAGATGAATAAATGAAAAGAAATGTCGTCTATATTTCAATGAATCAGCACCCGAACAAACAACAAAACAAGTAGAGGCATCTTTTGGTTAAAACAAAAGACTTCAATATACATTGTAAGTGTCAATACAAATGTAAAATAAATAGGATGTGGTAAGATTGCCAATGAGACACTCTCTCCAAGAGACCAAATGATACAGACATTAACAACTATAGGTCACTGTATGGCCTTCAACAATGAGTAAAACCTATACTGCATAGACAGCTATAAAAGGCTACTAAATGACAAATGTAAAACAATTCAAATTTGATTGTCTCTGCTCGTGAATATTATGTACCGGGTACATGTATCCGAGATTACCAAAGAATGGTCTTAGGCAGATATCCTGAAATGACTAAAAGGTTAAAGATATAAATAAAGGCTATATATTAGCTTGTCCATGCAGCCTCATTATCTAAGCAGACCAAGAGAACTTGTATTATTGTTTTTGTCCCGTCAATCTGACCGTCACAAAATTTTCTTCAGTATTACTGTAAACTTTGTATCAGGCATGCATTGAGTTTTGTCATTCTTCAGTGTTACTGTAAACTTTGTATTGAGTCTTGTCATTGTACATATATATTTAAATATATAAATGTCCAAGCAGTTTCTTATTTCATTGGGTATGGTAATATATCTTGGATTTAACCTTCAAAACTTCAATTTTCATCCTCATTTGCTTTTTCATCACTTCTTCCTTCAAATCCCATAAATGTAGTTTTTATTGTCGAGCCTGCGACTTTAGTCGCTGAAAGCTCGACATAGGGATAGTGATCCGGCTGTGGCGGTGGCAGCGTTAACTAACTTCTTAAAAGCTTTATATTTTAGAAGGTGGAAGACCTGGATGCTTCATAAATTGTATATAGATGCCTTATGTTACGAAGTTTCCGTCTGTCACATGTCCATTGTCCTTGACCTCATTTTCATGGTTCAGTGACTACTTAAAAAAATGTTAAGATTTTTTGTAATGTTAATTTCTCTCTTATTATGAGTAAAAGGATAACTATATTTGGTATGTGCGTCTATATACCTCTGTGGTCAGTCATATCAAGCTGAGCCTTGCATTTTATTTTCAAATTGGTTAACTTATACTCATGTTAGAATTAAATAATTTTGTATGTATAAAATCGAGAATGGAAATGGGGAATGTGTCAAAGAGACAACAACCCGACCATAGAGCAGACAACAGCCGAAGGCCACCAATGGGTCTTCAATGTAGTGGGAAACTCCCGCACCCGGAGGCGTCCTTCAGCTGACCCCTAAACAAATATGTATACTAGTTCAGTGATAATGGACGTCATACTAAACTCCAAATTATACACAAGAAACTAAAATTAAAAATGATACAAGACTAACAAAGGCCAGAGTCTCCTGACTTGGGACAGGCGCAAAATTTATGCATACTCAATTTAATATAATATTATTATCCTATTGTATACAGAAGTAAAACTTGTGTCTGATCCTTACTACTAATTTAAGTCAATTGTTCGAATAAAATAATCATAAACTAAAACATTCATATGATGTAGTTTTGCATCTTCTATTTAGAGCATGTTCAGTACCAGTAGAATTCAACGACAAAATTAATAAGCTATTATTATAATTTCTTTGTTCTTACTACTTTTCTTATGTTTGCAGGGAAAATTGACAGAGTGATACATCTTCTATGAATAAAAAGAGGAAATAAGTGTCTGCAGCAGTAAATCATTATAACAACAAGACTGTGAAAAGAAGATATCAGAACATGAAATGAGTTTTATTTCTTTTAAAAAGAATTGTTACAGAATATATCTCTTGTGATCCTAATGAAAACCATTGTCAACTTGAAGTAAAGGAAGATTTTATAATTTAATAGAACAGGAAATAAAGGAAGACTCATTTAGAGCATAACAAAGCACAATGTATATTTCTAATTAGTCTGTTAATTCAGAATAACCCATGTGAAGGAATTATATTTTACAGTAAACAACATACAAAACACTTACAATTTCATGTTTTGCAATTGGTGAATTTTCATGTTGTACTAAGGTAAAATTTATATGACAGATGCATTACCTTAAATATTCACTGAACACATGAAAATCCAACATAGCCATTGCAAAAATAACTTGCACTTACGTGTACATATGTTATTCATGTGATATTAATATGAAAATCACATCACGATTATGTGAAAATATAGACGTGAAATAACAAAACTTTTACACGTTAAAATAATGTGAAAAAATCTAAATGTGAAATTAACACAATATTTACACGTTAAAATCACGTTTATAAATTTACGTGTGAAATTAACACAATATTTACACGTTAATATCACGTTAAAAAATTTACATGTGAAAATAACGTTACGTTTAAACATGAATATCACGTGAGCAGATTAAAACGTGATTATCACGTGAGAATCTTGTGTGTGTCAAATACAGGTGATATAAACGTTTAAACGGAGTGATACACACGTGGAAATAACGTAGTTTTCACGTAATGAGCACAAACGTTAAACACACGTTGGAAAAAATTGCCTGTGTACAGTTTGATGGTTGTACAATTATAGGTGCTCTAGTAGTAGGAGTCGAGGTTGGAGATGTATCACTACAGATCACACCCACGTCATCGTTGTGTGTACAATCTGACTGGTTCCAACTTCGAAATGTGCATTGTTCAATATTTCGTTCATTTCCTGCGCAAGTAACATCGTCTAGCCATATAGGTCCAGTACCTGCTCCAAACCTGTTTGTATCATTTATAGCTGTTCCATCACCTCTAACAACAACAAAAAACTTCAGAATAGAAACCGACGAAAATATTTGATTTAAATTTTTTTTTCAGAATATCGACAAAACAAAAATTTGGTTCATATAGTTCTTAAATATGTGTATTTACTTTGTTTGAACACATACTGGAACTTCAAGCAAGCATAATATAAATGTATGATAACAAGTCAATGAATACAATATTTGCTGTATGAAATTATAATCAAGCTCAAAAATACACTACGCAATTAACTTTTTTCAAGCATGTGCAGCTTAGACATATATTGACAAATTTGTCCTCTCAAAAAGAGTGTATACGTAATTATGATAACCCATCTTATACCTTATCTAAAAGGATATTTTACATCGAATTACCATAAATGAACTTATTTTCATGGTGTATTTTCTGCCATGAAATTAGCTGTTGGAAATTATTGTGCTATTATCTGGAAATCATTTTTCTGCTTTAATTTTTAGTCGAGTAATAAACTCTAAGGTAAACTTTCCGTCAGGGATTTGCAATGTCAACTTGTAACATTTTCATAGTATACACAAAAATTAAATACCACCTCTTAAATAACATGTGTTATACATGAAAGCAAGTTATTCTAATCAAATGTGAAAAGGGAACATTATTTCGTTAAATTATTACTTTGCTATTAATCTTTTTATTTTAAAGACAATCCGGTACATGTTTAAATATTTCTATGGAAACCCCATGTTTCACCATTATTGTGTCAGAGGGTGACTGTGTTACTAGTGTTTTCTGTATACCATTGTATTTACAAAGGTTATCGGAATAAACTTTTTAAATGTTTTAACCGAAATTAATCAAATAATAATAGCAATATCGAAGCACTTTTTAGAGAGCTTATTCAATGCGCCAACAGTTCATATAAGTGGAATGGAGCCAGTGGTAGTTATATAAATAGCGACGTGTGCTTGGAATTAAAATATCCAATTGATTAATGTTTTTCGTACTTTCTTTCAAAATTTCATTCTAATGCACTGACTGATTCAAAATAATAAATTCAAGATGGGTCATTTTTCGATGATTATATATTTCAAACCTGTAAAACACTCATTATTTACATACGGAAAACCTAGTTGTCTGCACACAACTGTTGCTGCATTATCATTGAATTTATCTTTACATACAGTTCCTGTGATGTTGTTTCTTGTAATTTCCACACGACCTTGGTGCGAAGTAGACCCATTACCGGCTAAACTGATGATTATGCTTTGTCCTGAAAAATATTAAGTCGCTCCTGTTTAGATTTGTTACACAAAATAAAACTTTACAAATTTCGTGAGTCCGAAGCGCTTTCCTGTATTAACCTTCATAAGGAATGCATCCGGAACCCAACATTTGAACACCAAAAACGTATAAATATATAAAGGCGTGAGAAGCTATATAACCAAGTAAAAGAGGACCTTAAAAGTATAGCCAAATTCATCTCCATCAATTTTGCCTTTAGGGAAGGAGTTGGAACCTTAGTTTCATAATAATTTTTAACATTTTCTTGTCAAAAATCATGTCCATACCGAAGCACTGATTACTGAGCTGTTGATGACTTTAAGCGCACTTAAGTCATTTATGACTATATATAGGTCACGGAATAATTTGAGTTAGAAGGGTAGGAATGGCCATTACCGTCTGGTTAATTTGTTATTGTCATTCTTCAAATTGCATTTGTCAGCTACCGTTCGGTCAAATGGATTAAAATACTTTTTGTTTACGTTATTTAAGAAAATTGTATTGTTAATCGTTATATGGGTTACCCCATTCTATACTCAATCAGGATTCAATAGGGTTAAGTAGCACGAGCGTAACATTTTGGCTGCATAAGGAAAGCTTGAATAAAATAGTATGTCCAGTAGTGGGTATTATTTGTTGGTTGGTACTTTTAACAGTAGATCTACATATTGTTACATTTTGCCGCTTTTTTTTGCAATTCAATGGTCGTTAACAGTCGTACAATTCGACTACAAAACTAATTTTGCCCTGATCAGTTTTTTGTGATTGTTACACCATATCTAAAACATCCATTACGCATATAATGCTATTCCCTTCTCATTTGTAAACGAAAATCTTATTTCATTAAATTACATTTTCTAACATTCTTTTTATATACTCCTAAATTGAATCGACTTACATGTACGTGATCACAGCACGAAGTTCAAAGTTCAAATTCATAACTTGTTTTCCGCATGAGTTCGACTGCAAAATTAATTTTACCGTAATCAGTTTTTGTGGTATTTATACAAATATTTAATTACGTATATTTCTAGCCTTCTTTTGACTACAATCCCTTTCACCTTCGTGTTTTCCTCTTTTCTCGGTTTGTTTTAGCTACGAATGACTTTCAGGTTTATCATACAATCAAGATGTCTATCAAATTCGACGCAATCGGTATCCTATACTTCGTTTGTGGTGTCCTGGTGTGCTGTCGTAAATTCATTGGATGTTCCCTTGTTATTCTGCGGTTTACATGTAATTATGTACTATCATATTATTTATTGATGTATTTCTCTGTGCTGAGTGTTCTTGCGTTTGTTTATACTGTATTCCTGTCACATAGACTAAGTGTTGTCATTTTGGCGGTATTTTTAATATTGCCATATTAGCGGGAGGTTTGGCTAGCCATAAACCAGGTTAAACCCACCATTTTTTCTGAACATGTCCTGTACCAAGTCAGAATTATGGTAGCTGTTATCAAATATTTCGTTTCTATGTTTGTTCGCGTTTGTTTTTGTTGCAGTTCAGTGTTCCAGTTGTTCCGTTGTTTTCCTCTTATAGTTGATGTATTTCCCTCGGTTTTAGCTTGCAACCAGGATTTGTTTTCGCTTAATCGATTTATGACTATTAAACAGCGGTATACTACTGTTTCCTTTATTTATTCCAAATGATTTTTTTGGCATGGACTATCTTTATTGGTGAATATTACATATGGTTTGATTTTTCTTGTTTCTCATTGGTTTATTTGGTCACGTGTTTCCGATATATATTTTGTATTTTTTCACTGTTCTGACATATTGACTCGACGTTACTATTTTTAAAAATTATGTTGAATCCATGTTACTAAAATAGTAACATCGACTCAATATCATTTCCAATAATAGTTACATCGAGTCCGTATCATTTCCAAAAATAGTATCATTGAGTCAATATCACTTTCAAACTTACGCTATTTACAAATCTAATATCTAATATTAAATTAAGGACTTTCACTAAGTCAATACGTTATCAGTGGCGGATCGGGGGGGGGGGGGGGGGGGGGCGTAGAGGGCGTACGCACCCCCCCCTTTTTGCTTGAAGTTTTTTTTGTTTTTTTGTAAAATGATGAATCAGACTAGACTTCGTGAACTTTACAATTTCCCGGTTGTGTATTTAATTTTTAAGCGACAATTCTTTACTTATAAAGATATTTTTCGCTCGTATTTACTGTAATATATTATTGATTATGTCAGTCATGTGTTTCGCTATGGTGGTGTTGATCAGTCACTCAGTCATTTTGAAATTCAAATTACAGTAACACATTGCTTAGGCGGAGGATGACAAGCATGACGCCTTCAAAGCGACAAAGGATTGAGCAAGAACGTATTGACTTCTATTTCATATTTCCACTCAACAGAAAGTAATACTCTATTACACCGTACACTCTCATGAAAAAAAAAGTTCCACGGCAATATTATTTACCTACGAAAATATGTTTAACCCCACACGCCCCAGCCAATTAATAACTTTGCTGAATAATGACCCCCAGTCAGTAAGCTCTAGATATATTTAAAGTCTAAGGTACGGAACATTTGATTTGATAGGGCAGTCTGAGATATTTTAGAGAAAAAATTCTGACCCTGATTTTTGCCTTAAACAAAAATTCTGGCCGTATCTGTAATGAAAACAATTATCGTGTCCCCTTTTTTGCTATAAGAAAAAAAAATCCAACAGAATTATTCAGCATTAAACGAACATGGTGAATAAAAAACTGGCGTATTTTTTTTTGGGGGGGGGGGGGGGGGGTTTGCATGTAAATCCCATATCTGACCGGAATGTCTGTTTCGCCGAACTGATATACTGAATACTTTTTTCAAGGCCCAACTGCAACCTGCCTGCATGCTGGGTGTGGCCTTTATGTCTCAATTTGTCGACCGTCATTCACAACTTCGTTGTCATTTGATTTTCAGACTCATTCGTAGCCGTTGGTTGATTTGGAACCCCTCACTTCCCTTGTTGAGTGAAACATTTCAACCAAACATTTGGAAAAAAATTGCTTGTTTGTCTTTGTTCGTGTCGGTCGGAAAACTACTGTTATTGCTGTTTTACTGAAAGCAACTTGTTCGACTACTAGTAGTCTTTGAACAAGAAATTTCATATTCGCCTAAGGTGGCAATTTTTTACCTTTTAAATAAGGGCCTACTCCAAATAACATATTTTTAACATCGAAAGTCATGTCCATGAATAATTTATCAATGCTTATGCTATTACGTCACAGTAAAATTCGGTTGTTCAATAAGGTCATTTAAGTGGCATAACATTGGTCAACCGGCTTAACGCATTCATAAAAAAAGAACTCGAAATATGTCTATCATTCAATGTGTTTCGTGCAAATTGGTGTAAAGCAACGTGTAAGCTTATTTATTTATTTATTTTTTAAGTTCGTCGTTAAAATGTCATTTAATTTCCCATTCATTTACGACACTTTTTTAAAAATGTACATACGATTTAAAAGATAGAGTAGTTATCCTGATTTAACCCTTACCACTTTAGGAGTCTCATGGTTCTATTACCACCTTCATTTATTCGTAGTGTTATGTGCTTCCTATTAGCCGACATCATTGTGTAGACCTGATAACCTTCAATATACAAATATGACTGTAACTTTGTACGTTCTACTGTCAAACTGGAGCAGCAGGGGCTGAGAAACCAGATTGGCCCAGGTTTCCCTTATGGCGCAACATTTATGAGAAGACATAAAATCTTTGAAAAATGACGAAAAAGTTATCTAAAAACAAAACGGATGCAATTCTTCATAAAGAATACAAATCTTTCTCAACATTACTCTTCGATGTTCTGCTAACTTAATACTATTTCTGATCAGCTTGCCGCTGCGGTGTATATCGCGAAGATTCGCATCATTTCTTTTTTAAATGTATATTATATTAAGAAAAACGAAGTAAGCTTTTAGAAAATCTTAGCTGGCTACCAAATAATTGTCCATTAAATATAGAACTATTAACCTCGGGTAGTAGTTTACTTACTCAGGGGCAAAATGAAAATATCTTTAAACATGTTTTTGAGTTTATTAGAGGGTCGAATAGATTCCTTATTGTTTAGATAGTAAAACATGACCACACACACACCATCATCTAAGTTTAGTTGTTGTTGTTTGTTTGTTTGTTTTTTCTTTTGTTTTTTATTAATTTATGTCCTTCTTCTTTTGTGCCACTTATTTTTTCTGTCCAATTTATACAAATGTTGAAATAATATGTAATGTATGCATGCCTTTATATATATTGTATTGTTAAATATGTTAAATGAAGAAGACTTCATAAGTCTGTTTGACTTGTGTCTCATCCAATTTGTGTTTATGCAAACAAAATATGCTTAAACTAAACAAAACTTTCTTTTCTAACGAAATAAATCGATAATAGGCATTCATTAACCACACTGTGTAAACAGTGTCTTCTATGAAATGCGCCTTCGCGTTCTCTATGTACTGTGACTTCAATATTGCAACAACAAATAACAACAATACATTCAGTTAGGTATGTTTACTTTGTTTTCTATATTGATTTTTCACTGTTAATAGCTAAATTACAATGTTCATATGGTAACACATTAGCACACTAAGACTGAAGGGTGCATTCCAATTTGATTTTAGACCGATTTATTGAGATTTTGAAGGACAAGGACCTATAGTTGTTGTAAAAGAGACATTGGCGAGTAGCTTAGTAACAACTCCAGAATGTTTTATGTTGTTACTTTAAGTGGATTTTGGACCATTTGTTTAGAGATTGTTACGGTGAACGACTATATAGGTGTTGTAGCAGATGAGACATACGCGCATCTTTTTTATAACAACTCCAGAATGGTTTATGTCCAAATTCTGAAGTTACTAATAGGGTAAAAAACTGAAATTGAAAAAAATGAAATTAGGTGGCGGTGCACTTTAAGTTGATTTTGGACCAATTTATAGAGATTGTGACGTGCAACGAAATATGTGTTAAAAAGAGACATTTAGGAACAAATCCAGAATGTTTTATGTTCGAAAATCTGAATCTCCAGCTTTCGGTTCTCCTCGTCAATTCTCTACGGCAAAGTTTAAGATCGAACCCAGCTGAAAAGAAAGGTATTGACCGAGAGCATTGCGCACTTACATATTGTTCTGGGATCCATAACCTTTGGTAGATAATAATGCATCCAAATTTAGCACGTTGTTTTTTCAACGAGCAACGATTAAGCATCCAAAATTCGAAAAAATCACTTAAATCATCTTATCAGTTAAGTGAATTTGAAAGTATTTGCGAAGAAAACGAACACGCATTAAGAATACACTGTGACGTAATTAACCGCCAAAACAAGGAAAATGGGATTCCCGCTAGATTTCTAAAACTATTTTTTTTATTTCTAACTACAAAATGAGCACATGGACCCCCATTTTATTCTTTTAAAATCGTTTGATAAATCAAAGTTGAAAGAAAACAATCAACGGTAGATTTTTTTTCTATATGCATTTGCATTGTCAAAAAATATCTACAGCTTTTCATTACCAAAAGTTGTATGATTTCACACACAAAAAATCGCATTCATTTTAGGGATTTCCTTAAATCCTTTAAATTATAAGGAACACTTTGAAAAAAACGTGTGAAAATATCTCCTTCCGTTTGAAAATTATTTTTTAGGAAAAGTATTGAAAAAAATCTTTGTATTCACTTGCAAGTACTAACTAGAAACTTTTGCCAAACGAAAATACTTCAAAAGGGCGGAAAGAAATAAATTCTTATATATTAACCACGACTCTTTCTTCAATGTCAACATGAACAGCCGTTGGTTTAAAAATCAAGTTGAGGTCATCACTAATTCAAAAATGGCTTAAACAAACAATGATTGCAACATCTGATTCAAAAATTTAATAACACTTTTAGATATTTAGATGATATATTTGCTCTCAATAATGACGACTTCAGTATGTACACTAAAGAGATTTATCCTGCCGAACTGACTTTAAATAAAGCTAATACTAACAATGAACACTGCCCTTTCCTGGATCTTGATATCTATATCTTTAACGGGAAGCTTAATACCAAAATATATGATAAAAGAGATGATTTTTCATTTCCTATTGTTAATTATTCATTTTTAGATGGAGACGTTCCCTTGTCACCATCTTATGGTGTTTATATATCTCAACTTGTTCGATTCGCTCGTGTATGTAACAACGTATTTGATTTCAACGAAAGAAATCTCTGTATTACTGAAAAATTATTACACCAGGGTTTTTGATATCACAAACTAGTCAAAACATTTACTAAATTTTATCATCGGTACAAGGACATCATTCGTAAATATAAATCAATATGCAGACATCTTATACGTTCAGGTATTTCACATCCAATATTTTATGGTAATATTCTTCACAAAGCACAAAAATGTCGGCATTCACCTCAAAAGCTAACCAAACATTTAAACAGACTTATTCGGAAGGGATATAGTTAGATACTGTTGGCAGATCATTAAGGATTGCATATTTTGGTATTAATATTGATTCACTCATAGGGTCTTTGCATCGGAAATAAACACATTTATTCTAAAACCAGTTGTTGGCATAATAAGGGTTATGTTCTTCTCATATATTTTATGATGGTATGATACTAAACCTCTAACGAAGGGATTGTACCTGATTTTCATATGATGAAGACATAATCTTTCAATCAGTTTAATTGAGGTCTGGAGCTGGCATGTCAGTAACTGCTAGTAGTCCTTTGTTAATTTATGTATCATTGTCATTTTGCTTAGTTTCTTTTGTTACCTATTCTGACATCGGACTCAGACTTCTTTTTAACAGAGTTTTACTGTGCGTATTGCTATGTGTTTCTTTATTTTACATTGGCTAGAGGTATAGGGGGAGGGTTGAGATCTCACAAAACATGTTTAACCCCGCCGCATTTTTGCGCCTGTCCCAAGTCAGGAGCCTCTCGCCTTTGTTAGTCTTGTTTGTTTTTTTCAATTTTAGTTCCTTTATATGTTTTGGAGTTTAGTGTGACGTCCATTTTCAAAGAACCAGTGCACAATTTTATTTAGGGGCCAGCTGAGGACCACCTCCGGGTGCGGGGTTTTCTCGCTGCGTTGAATACCCATTGGTGGCCTTCGGCTGTTATCTGCTCTTTGGTCGGGTTGTTGTCTCTTTGACATATTCCCCATTTCCATTCTCAATTTTAAAGATTGCAGAAAGAAGTATAACAAAAATACCGAACTCCAAGGTAAATTAACAAGAGGCTCTCAAGAGCCTGAATCGGTCATTTGAAATTTTTTTGCATTAATCTTTCATAAATTTTGAAAATTAACAAACATGATGAATAAATTAAGAATAAATGTCTTTAAAGGGTTATAACTCCTTCAGGGGTCAATTGACAATTTTGATCATTTGAATTACTTGAAGATCTTACTTTGAAAAACACTTTTGCTGTTTGTTGTTTATCTTTTTCTATAACATTCAAGGTTATAACCATAAACTGCAAAATTTCCTTAAAATTGTCAATTCAGGGGCAATAACCCCAAAATCAGTTGTCTAGTTTGTCTAAAAATTTCAGGGCATGTAGATCTCTACCTAATGAACACTTTCACTCCTGTGAGTTTTGCTATAAATGCTTTAGATTTTGAGATATCAGCCAAAAACTGCATTTTACCTCTATGTTCTATTTTTAGCCATTACGGCCATGTTTTTTGACGAAACAGAAAATAAAACACAACTTTATTTTAGATACCCTAAGGATCATTCAGCTTAAGTTTGGTTGGAATTGGTTCAGTAGTTTTAGAGGAGAAGATGTTTGGAATATTTTACACCGGACGGACGACGACGACGACGGACGACGACGGACGCCAAGTGATGGCAAAAGCTCACATTTCCTTTGGGAGAAGTCCATAAAAACTGACAAAATCATACGTGATACTTTATCAACCAACGGAACGAATGGTAAACAACCGTCATATTCCTGACTTGGTACAGACATTTTGCGAAGAAAAGTTCCTCTGACTTTCCAGGCAAAAGAATGAACACAAGATGAATAAAGTTTTCATTTTTAAATCCATGAATAGTATACAGCTGCTAAATTTCAATTTTCCATCCATACATGTCAAAATGATAATTCCGTTTACAGTTAAACTTTTATACTAGGTAAAAAGCGCAAATTTCCAGTCAATTTTACATAGGTGTATCAAAGTTTAAAGCGCAAATGTCCATATTTTTGGAGCACAGATGTCCGTTCGTGTTACAGGTAAAAAAGCGCAAAGGTCCTGAAATTTGGAATTGAGCTGGTCTTAATACGGACCATAAAAAGAGAAAGGAAATTTCATAAAATGAAATGAACCACGTTTAACATAAATACTTTTTGTCAATAAGTCCAAAAACAAAACAATGATAGGAACATGTATTCTGAAAATTGTCCCTAAAAAAATGAAAGGTAATGATTACCAAACGCATAAAACGTTTAATTTCCAATACTACATATTATCATTTCGAATTAATAATTTTTTGACACGGGCTTATTGTTGTTGTTAAACCATATAGCGTCTGTAATTTTTGAGATCATTTTACCTTAAAATTCGGTACAAATTTACTAATGGCAATGCACAAGATCGCGTCTTCCTGCACTGTGTATGAAGTTGCTGTAAGAATTCTATCCCGAGGCGCTGTCGGAGATATATATGTAGTAATATGAGGCTACTTTCAGTAAATGACAGCACTATTTGATGCTGCAATTTTAGTTTATTGAGAGAATTGTTATCTTGTACATCTGTATTGTTGTTATCAGTACCGGTAATCTACAGAGAAGTGCTTTTTCTGAACGGTATTAATTGTACGTTTTTTTTAATATAACTATACGTTTGTTATCCCACTGATGGAGATCAAAAGGGAACTAAGGGTAGGTAACTTTTTTTATATTAAAATTAATTACAACTTTAACTTACCTTCAATTAGGAAAATTGATCCACTGAAAAACAACAGTTGGAATAGCATTTTAAAATGTCGTGTTCAAGTTTTTGTCTTAATCGGACTTGAAAGTTTATATTTTATATTATATCATGTCATAACTTTATTGTGCAACATACATTACCGGGAATGTATACCTGGTACTTGACTCGCGCTGTTCCAGAATATATACCATTACCATGCTAAAAGGGCGGAGAATTACAACAAATGACAAACACAAAAACCCATCATGTGACTTTACAAGAACAGACAAAACAATTTTTGCAAACGGTCCGAGTCATTATATATGCTATCATTATACGTCCTTGATCTCTAATATATTGAGTTTTTTCCGGAATAATTTGAATGAAAGAAATTTTACATTTAACTGAGATCTTTATTCGATTAAATACTTTTTCAAATCTAAAAAGTCCTGTTTTTGTTCGAGATCTTTATTATCTGATGGATTTAAAAAAAAAAAAAAAAACAGCGCAAGTTATCTATGAGTGATACAATCAAAATAATTGTGTTATGATAAAGTATGAATTGAATTGCGAAAAAAAAGGTCAAAGGGGCATTAGCTTTCAAATTTATGTTCACCGATTTGACTCAAATTCTCACATTTGATTTATAACATGCTAAAACGTAAATCCAAATTACAAAAAGTCTAAATTAAACAATTAACAATAGAAAAACAAAGAATATGGAGTATCCATCCATGACACAAAATCAGTACATGCACAGCAAAAAATACAAAAAGCAAAGGAACAGCGTGTTTATTGCTGTTCTTCATCTCTGAGTCACAATGAGGCCTTCAACACGGAGCAAAAATAACTAAAAAAAAACTCTCACCTACATGTAACTGCAAGTTTTGAGACGGCCCATAGCACCGGCTTGAGCGGAATTCTTTGCAAAAATTATTCGGATAGACTAACAATGCATGGACTCTATAATATGTATCAGCATTTCGTGCGTATATTAGTCTAGACGCCATCTAATAAACTATCGAGGTGACCTCTGAATATTGCCGACGGTCATATAACCCGATATAAACATAAATATAAATAGATAGCCAGCTCGTGCAATTGGCTTTTTCTAAGTCTGTTCAATTTTATGATGTTGGTTCAAAAAATATGTTAATCATCGTTTTTACCTCTATAAGAACGATTTTTTGTGGATCAATGGTTCACCCTTGTTTCACTTTCAATGTTAACATTATTTTCATTTTAATAGCTGAACACGCCTAGTACATGCGTAACCCATCTCCAGCTAAAGGGTTAAATTGAAGGTCACATGAATACGAATTCAATTGAGGTTAAATTATTCACTTGCAAGTAAATAATACATCAGCGATGATTTTTAGCTTATTTTGACAAATTTGGGCCAAACTGACTGCTTAGGACAAAATATTATTTCAAAATTACTTGCAAGGACATATACGTCCTTGATACTTGAAACAAACAAAAAAATGTATTTTAATTTCTTGTCTAAATCGTAACTAATTACCCTTTAAACAAATGCCTTTAAAAAAGTGTATAAGAATTCCAAATATCACTCTTTAAAATTGTTTTGTACATGTTTCATATGTGCAACATAACCATTCACATGTATTTTTTTAATTCAGAGCATTTTTCAATTGTTAGTTTTTAGTCCATAATGACAGATAATTAAGAGATAACTGTATTGTATTGTCCGCAAAGCTTCAAATACAATACAGTTATCTCTATTCTAATGCAAAACAAGTACATAATTCAATTTCAATCATTATTTCAGTGTAAAATTCTCATTAAAGAAAATTCCGCGAAAAGATGTTATCTTCTTTGGCCCCTAAACTAGGTGACGTCATAGGTATGCTTCCGGCGTCAAACGTAAACACCGGGCGTTTTCTGGCTTCTTGGCCGCTTCAGAATGTAATTAAAATTGATTAAAAGAAGATTTCTAAGTGCAACATGTGAGTTTTTTTGCTTATTATTGTAAAAATTGCATGTCAATACATTCCGCAATTCAAAATGTCGGCTTCCTTAGTTACAGACAAGGACATAGAGAATTTTACGCTTAGTGTCATCCAATCAGAACCATTGATACAAAAGAATTGCATTAGAATTAAAATTGACACGAATTTATAAGGACTTGGGGAGTAAAAATCTTAATCTTCAACACAAAACTGATATAATAGAAATGTTATTGTCAATGAATTTAACATGTTTTCATCACAATGCACTCTGTTCTATTTATTTAATAATATTTAAAAATATCTAGATATAGTGACAGTCGTCAATAATGCCATTCACAAGGAACTCTAGAAAATTGTTATATATAGACATCGAACATTAAGCATTCATAATTTAGACATTATTTTATTTTGCCAATCATGGGCCCTTGTCAGATAAGATACACAAACATCATAACACAATAATTATTATAAAACATGCGAGTTTTAGTGAAAATACACAATACACAAAGAAATAAAGTAAAATATGAGCAAAGGTTTGGTACCATTAAAACGTTTAATCCCGCTGCAAATGTTTGCGCCTGTCCTAAGTCAGGAATCTGATTACAGTAGTTGTCGTCTGTTTATGTAGTTCATACGTGTTTCTCGTTTCTCGTTTTTATATAGATTAGACCGTTGGTTTTTCCGTTTGAATGGTTTTACACTAGTAATTTTTTGGGGCCCTTTATAGCTTGTTGTTCGGTGTGAGCCAATGCTCCGAGTTGAAGGCCGTACCTTGACCTATAATGGTTTACTTTTATAAATTGTTACTTGGATGGAGAGTTGTCTCATTGGCACTCATACCACATCTTCCTATATCTATATGCATAGTTCTGATAACAATTTGTCATCTTCATTATTCATTAACCATATCAGTTTTGTTGGTAGGGTCTAGATTTTTAAAATTCTTTCATCAATTATTTATCATTGTTATTATCTTTTTTTGTTTGTCAGATAGACTATATCACAGTTAAAAAATAAATGTTTTTCATCTTCGACCTCTTTACTACAACATCTTTGACATACTCTATTGTGTCGACGAGTATTATCATATCTATCTGTCTCTATAAGTAATGGTGACCAGATATGCGAAATCTTGTTAGACTCTTCAAATTTTTTAACAATATCAAGATATTTTTCGCAAGAAAAATTAGATTTACAAGCAGCATATGTACATAGTTTCACTTATAAGTGGTTATTGAGATTTGTATCCTAATCTTTCAAAATGGCAATTTAAAGTTTTCTGTTGTCTATTGGTTAACCCCTGTCAGAGGATGTAAAACGATTATGATTGATCAGTGAGAAAAATTCTTTATACAACATGTACCACACAGTTTCTTTGACTCATACAATTTATTAGATTCTTAAAAGCATTAAATAATGATCAATGGGAAGTAAGTGCCAGATTTTTCTAATCTGTAGTATTTTATCATTGCTTTAAGCATGATAAAATATATTGGCAGGCTCAGCAAAGTTATTACTTTCTTTTGGAGCTTCACGAGTAAAATTACGGAATTTAGTATGAAGTTTTTCAGCATGTAATTTAGAGTAAATATGGTCAAATGAAACAATCTCATTTCTAAATTTAGCAGACATTGGGTTAAAGGCATCACATATATCAAAACTGTATAAAAGGATGGGTTTGATGGAATGATCGAATACATGCATGCTTGTTTTGACTGGAGGATGCATGGATAAAAAATCTTAAGACAATTTAAAATAGGCTTTTAGTGCCTTTTAATACAATGCATTCTGTGCTACTGTCAAAGAGCCAGATGCACAAAAATGTATACCCAAATATTTATATGTATTAACACACGTTTGGAGATGTCGATAATAAAACAATATCGTCAGCATACATAAGACAGTGTAAATCGCAATCATTTATTGATACTGGGTCCTCATGCAGAGTTTTAAAAATAATTTGTCAAATTATAAATAAAGATCTTGAAGAGGTTTGGACTAAGGTTGTCTCCTTGTTTTACCCCAAGGTGTGTTGAAATTAAGCTGTTAGTTAAGTCTCATTTACACACGATTTGCTTACTTCATACATGTTTTTAATGTGGTAAAATGAATATCCTACTCCAATATCTAGTAGATTCAGTCCAATTTGTCAGCCATCAATTATTGTGTGTTCGATAAGAAATCTGTCAAGACGGGAGTTCAAAACAGAATTAAACAATTTCCCTATTGAACTAATTATAGTTAAACCACGATAGTTATTGGATCAAGAATATCATTAGCCTTATGTCAGGGTGTAATTTATCCTTCTGCCCATTTTCATGATATGTGCCATAACTCAAACAAGAGTTGAATATTTTTTGAAGCAACCAATTAAAATACTTTGGCTGCATTTAATCATGTTATTTGTTAAATTGTCCAACCAAGGTGATTCGTTCCATTTTAATTTCGAGATGGCATTGATAATTACAGTATCAGTAATTACAAAATCTAATTCTAATCATTAAATAAAGGCAACAGTAGTATACCGCTGTTCGAATAAAACATTTCTGAGATATCTCAGCAGACCCCAAACTCTCCTTAAGATGTTTTACCCTACCTAAATAATTATCATTAACCGGCTTACTTAATCCTTGAATGTGATCAAGCCAGTCAGATGGTGATATATTGTTAACTGAAAAATCATGATCTTTGTCTTGTAACTTATTAATCAACTTCCAATATAGTTTAGGATTGTCCACTTCATCTTGCATAATTAGATCAGGGTGTGTTCCAGTTCTGGCATTAAAATCGCCACAAAGAAGAATATCAGCGTCTTTATCAATAATGCAATATCATTTTCACGACATTCAAAAAGTTCTATATCTCCTACCTAGTGTAAGTGGATGTCACTGGTGGGTAATATATAACACAAATATATAGATCTCTGTGAGAGCCAAAGATTTTTTTTCTAATTTTACCCACTGATAATCAGTATTAGCATTTTTTTTTAATGTTCGCATGATTTAAGTGAGGATTACTCAAAATTGCAAGTCCGCCATAATGTCTTTTATTAGCCTTTGTGATGGATTTACATACAGGGTAGTAGTTAAAAGGGCCAACATTTCTTATATTGGCATTGTAACCCACATGGGTTTCTACGAGCATATTTTGAAATTGAGTCAATGAAGGTTTGGTCCTGGATTCTGTATAATACTTGAAATGAACTCAAAATTGCTGAGT